AAGCATTTGACAAAAAGTACATTTTGAATGAACAATTGTTTACCGTGGGAAAACATTTTCTAAATGAAGACAAATTAGTTTATAAAAGTCACAAGATGACAGAAAACAACTCCATACATTTTACAAGGTCTAAATTTACACGCTTATCTAAATACTCATTACTTTATTTGCTTTTTTTGGCAGTCACACAGTGAACTAACTGAGCCAAACTAATTTGTGGTGAAGTAATGACCATATACCTACACAATGACCACTCTCCATTTCTCCATGATTCTTCAAAAATCTCAATGGTACTCATTGCTTCTAATGTATTATTTTCAGAATTATAATGCATATTAGAAAAACATAACAACAAGCTAAAGTATTTATGACAACCCTCTGCACTTTAGAGAAATATCCATACATCACAACATCCTGTGGTACAATTGCCCACATTTCATAATGATGTCTGAGAAGCATGTAAAATAACCATTTTACATGCTAATTTAAAGCAATTAACCAGGGATGAATGCATTTTGTCAAAAATGTAAGTGCAACATGCAAAAACAAGTAAGTCATGACAAGAAACTCTCTTAACAGACCTTGCCCTCAAAATTTACAATCTTTATTTTCCATGTTTAAATCACTTTAAAGTTCAAGCTGCAAAGTTCTATTTTTCAGAAAAAAATAGGACAATTCAGAATTGCTTTGGAAAGTAGCAATTACCTGAAATGTAAAACTCTGTAATTAACTTTGCAATAAAAAGCAGTGATTAGTACTCTTTGCCATGGCATCATCATCAAATGACAACCAAAACAATAAATATTTCTCAAATGCATTACCAGAGTGTATTTATTTTTCATTGAATGATGTTTTCTTCCTTTCTTGCCATACCAGAAACGAATCATTTCCCTTCTAATTAAATCAATTTTAGCTTTACGTGAGGATTTCTCCCTAGCATTCTCTCTACTTGCTTTCAATTCCAGGCACAGCAATCCTTGCTAGGAGACAGAATAACTTGCTAGCTGCACAGAGTTGACAGACAGGATAAACAGCTAATAGTATATAATCAGTAAGATGTGTCTGGCCCAGTGAATGAAAAACAGAAAGGTTTCTATATTCAAGGGAGGTTGCAGTTCACTAAAGTGCTCAAAAAGCAATAGAGCTTAAAGAGACAGGACTCAATTTTTCTGAATCTAATGAATGTGTTAAAGAAATTCTGCACCTTAAGCATTTTTTCCATGGAATACTGATAATGCATATCTTAAAACATTCAAAAAGATCTACAGTTTTCATAATATACTGATCTTAATGAACTATGCATGTTATTCAAAAATTTTATTTGTTCTGACCATAGAATCAAGAATTGTACAGTTTGAGAGGGCCAAAAAGGCCACTGGGACCAACTCCTTAATGCAGGCCACTAGAATACACTATTGCTCTCAGATATCTGTCTAGTTGCATCTTGAATGGCTCTAATTTGGGAGAGCCCATGGCCTCCCTAGGTAATTATTTCCATTGTCATACTGCCACAACCTTTCTAGAGAACATCTCAGAAGACATCTGTGATCAACCTTTTGCACCACCATTTTTGCAGGAAAATATAATTAAGTAGCACATATTGCTTACAGCATGCAGACAAACCTGCTAGGAAATTGTCCAATAAAATCCAGAATCACAAGTATGGCAAGAGGTGCAAGTTAGTAAGATGTCTTCACATAGAACTTGATTCCATATCAAGAGCTCCCTCTATATGCAGTACATACATTTCATATAAAACGTACTGACAGTTCTCTAATATTAAATGCCAATTTTGATAATATTTAACATTGTTTTAACCACAGAGTGGCCTGATCCAGTCATGTCATCTTATTTCATATTCAAGGATATTTAGGAAGAAGCCAAACCATCTGTGCCAAAGATGAAACACAATTTAATGCAAATAGGGACGAAAGGTGGGTGCAAAAAAAAAAGCTTGTAGACATCTCTTTAGTTCCAATTCTGTACCTTGTGTGCTCCTGGTTCCAAGTGCACAAAGAACAACACCCTCTTGCCATGGATTTTATACTTTCTTTCTGCCTCTGCTTCCGAAGCAGGGAGTATATACAAGTTAGCCCCCTTTTCCAGGGAGAGAAGAGAAGGGAGGTGAAACAAGGTCCAGCTCTCACAAGTAACTTCAGGAAAAGGGTGTGTAAACATTCTGATAAGCTTACATCTAACTCCTTGTGAAAAGGAGTATTCTGGTTATCAATACCAAATACGGTAATTTAAACAACACTGATATTCACTTATTATAACTTCACTGACTGTACAGGCAAAGGAGGTAACTACGGGACAATATGCTTAGAAGTGCTGCTTTGCGGTTCAATGTGCATAAAGGTAATATTGAGAGGCACAGGGAACTCACATCCTCTTTAGCCTTCTTAGGCGCTAGCATTTTTACCGGGGGACACATTTAAAGAGATCTTTCATCGAATAGGATGCAGGCACATAGCAATGTCCCAGTGCTGAAGTTTGTATTTAAAAAATCCAAGTTGTTTCTACAAACACATTATGTTATGAATTTCAACAATGCTAATCTGAAACCCAAGATAATTTAGGAGTCTCCAAGGAAGTGCCTTGGTTCAGAATTACAAAAAGTATTTCAATATTACAGCTGACATTAATATATGCTATATCCCTTGGGGGAAAAAAATCAAGTTTCTTGCCATCCTATCAGTACCTATTGGTACTATTTTATCCCTTTTATGTCAACTTCCAAACATTCCAAAATATATTTTGATCCTGGTCTGTTTAAGCCAGGGGTCTCAAACTCAACTTACCTGGGGGCCACTGGAAGTAGAGTCTGGGTGAGACTGGGCCACATCAAGTATTCCACCACGGTGGCGGTGGTGGGCTGCTCATCCCGCGGCCGGCCCGGGTGCCGACGGCGCTTTGAAGGCCGCAGGCCCCTCCCCTGTGCCCCGCCTGTCCCAGCAATTGGCCCGCGGGCCGCGAGTTTGAGACCCCTGGTTTAAGCAGAACTCCCTCCTGTTATGTCTGAATATTTTAAGTGGGCTCACATTGGGCTGTTTGGCTCCTCCTTTCCCTCTTGGTCCTCCAGTCAATAACTGACTCCTTCAGAGCATAACCCATTTTGTTTTCCCATCCTTGTTCAGACTACTAGTGCTTTTAAGTTCGTTGCTCCTCCCTCCCTCGTTCCTTCCTTTTTTTTAAAAGGAGTCTTAGAACTGCAGAATTGGGGTTGCAGGGCTTCAGCCATAGAAAACTGTGCAATGGTCTTTATATGTCTTGTTTTGTTGTGTTGGTCTTTTGCAGATGTGCTGTCACTGCTGTCTGAAATGGGTACTGTTATCAAGTCAATTTTTTTGTATGTTTCAGCTGCCAAGGAACTGTCAAAGAGGAGTAAGGAGGTAACTTATAAGGAAAGCAACAAATTCAGACAGCATATAGGCTACTTTGCACATAGGATCCAATGGGCAAGGTATCAATTAAAAGGCATAAATGATAAGGTAGGGGGAGGCTGCAAAAGCAGGTGAGCCAGAAGCAGAGGGAGGGATATTTCCCACTTAATAAGGCCATCCTCTTGATTATAATTGTTGAACTGATGTTTCTTAATTCACTTCACCTTTTTACCACTTCCAAAATCCTTCATCTGCTCCAGAAAAGGGAGATATTAACTCACCCCTTCCCTTTTTGTGGCTCCTTTTCAAAGTTTTCACTTCCCTGATAGTTTAAAAAAAAAAACTCCAAACCAAAACTCTTGAGGGTACAGTAGCAACAGAATTTAGATCTCTTTCTTCCAGGTGCCTGAACTATAGCATCAGCCATTTTTAAATAAGGGTCACTGCAAAGAATATCAAAGATAGTTTACTAAGATGCTGAGCTCCAGTGGGTATATTAGTTATGAGTTCATGATATAATGCAGTGGTGGACATTTTGCAGGTCAAAAAACCTGAACAGTCACAGCATAGCTGAACCGCTGTAGGTAGCATAACCAGAAACTGAAGGCCTGGGGAGCCACAAATTGCTTTCTCCTGATAAAATTGTGACAAATATGGACAATTAATTTATACTAAAGGATTTTGTGGGTTTTCATTGTTGCAGGGCTTACTATATAATCTGTTTCCACAGAGATGCCAAATTATATCACTCTTTACTATCATCTTATAACCAATTTTCCAAAAATACAGCAGATTCTGATGCACATCCAACAGTACACACACTTACATTGATAATGATACCTCTGTAACAAACATTAACTTTTGTACTATCACTAAAAAATGAATCAAATTATTAATGCAAGTCTTCATATGCCTGACTCTAACACACATTGAACCAAATGATATTATACATAAGAACATATGCTTAGGACGGACATACAATTAAGGTAATGTATTATATTAAACTACACTCTCATATACACCATACAACAGGGGTCTCAAACTCAACTTACCTGGGGGCCGCTGGAAGTAGAGTCTGGGTGAGGCTGGGCCGCATCAAGTAATCCACCACCGCGGTGGTGGTGGGCCGCTCATCCGGAGGCCGGCCCGGGCGCCGCAAGCACTTTGAAGGCCGCAGGGCCCCTCCCCGTGCCCTGCCCGTCCCGGCAATTGGCCCGCGGGCCATGAGTTTGAGACCCCTGCCATACAATATGCTAGAAACATAGTCCAGAAACAATGATGTTTCATTATATTTATGAGGTAGGTGTCTTTTAGGCCACTGATAACAAATAGAAAATTACCCAGGTGCATGTTTCCTTTTGAATTTTGTCCATTCTGATGTACAGTAAGCAAAACATTTTACAAAGCTACATACGCATCTTTTCTATACAATAAGAACTAAACTTTCAGATGACAAAAATTAAGCAACAAAATTACCAGGACACATACATATTTACAGTTATTACTGCAATATCTAAATTATCTTTTTCCATGAATCTTCCTTTTAAGGAAAGTTGATGTTTTTCAAACAAAAGCTGTGCCTTCTAAAGGCTTTAAAAAGCATTTAAAAGTGCTTACCTCCCATTCCTTAGCAGTTGATTCAGTAGCCAAATCCTCACCAGTTTCCAATTCAATTTTTTTAACTACGATAAAGCCAGGCTCTCTGCTCATTTCTCCAGTATCTTCCGCATATATTTCTGGACTCCACTGAACAAAAAATGCATACAGATGTTCAGTCCTTTACAAGAAGAAAAAAAAAGAAAATTAATTACTGACCCTTTATAGCCAAAGATGTCTGGATATAATTTAAGTTCTAACTATCAAAACATTTCTATTTACCCTTCTCTTTGAAAATAAACAAAGAAAATACCTATTACAGATTTTAACAGAAGCATGAATTGACTACAGGCAATCCCCGGGTTACATACAAGTTCTGCTCCTGAAAAAATGGAAATTCATCTTTAAGTGAAATTTGAATGTGAAGTGATCAGGTATAGTCAGCCCTCCACATTCACAGGGGTTGTGAAAGTGGAAAAAGTGCAAATATCTCTACTCTGCCCTAACTCACCAGTGCCTCCTCTTTGCAGCAAAGAAATGTTGAAAATACTTTCCTCTCCGGCAGGATTCAGGGCAGGGCAGGGCAGGGCAGGGCAGGAAGGCATACTTTGGAGGCCTTCCTCCCCATCCCACTACTATCTATCTCTCTGGACCAAATATTTGAAAAGAAGTTTATTTGAGGGGAAGGAGGGGATGCAATGTGACAATCTTTCCCACAGAAATATACACAGCAGGAGAGAATTCTAAAGAAATGAATAATCCAGTTATATGTTACCTACCTGAATAGAGTCTTTGGTTTCAGAGCATATGCAGAATTCATTATAGAAAGGATAGTGAGAAAGCGTATATCCAACCATTTGATTAAATAAAATATTAAATATTGATATTGATGAAATATTACTAGCATGACTTTCAGGTCACAACTCAACTCTTATTTTCATGGAAATCTTGAATTTAGTAAAACCAGGGGCATAGAAAGAGTCCAGCTGCTCTTTTGTCCATTACTATATAATAGTTTCCATTACCAAAGTTAGTAGTTGGTCAGCAAATCTGAACAATAGTAACAGAACTGCTTTCCAGTTCTACAGTATCTTTTTTGAGATGGTATTTAATGTGTGACCCCACCAAGGATTTATATAAGGGCATTTGCATCCTGACAGTTTCATTTATGTTTAAGGCATTTACGAATAATCCTTAGCATGAAATTCATATTTTCTACCGCTGTTTTAAAACTGGATCATAATTTTCACTGAGGTCTCCACACTGACCCCAGGAACTCTTTTCCAGGCTTGAAACCTACAGTTCAGATACAACTATTGCAGATATCTGAATGTGAATTATGTTTGTACTACTTCCAATTCTGGTTCAGAAAGTACCGCATTTTTCGCTCTATAAGACACACTTTTGCCCCCTCAAAAGTAAGGGGAAATGTCTGTGCATCTTATACAGTGAATGTGTGTTTGCCCGACGCCCGGGACTCTGACAGCCTGCCTGTACCACGTGGCACCACCTGGCCGGCACGCGCTCGGCACGCCCTGCTCCGCCCCTGCTCCAGCGCAGGTGAGAGCTGTGCCGCTCAGGGGGAGCAGTGGAGGAGGAGGAGCCGTGGGCTTTAACCCGCCGGCCACACGGAGAGATGGACTGCTCACCCCCACCGCCTGGGAAGATCTGCCGTGGAGGAGGAGGAGCCGCGGGCTTTAACCCGCCAGCTGCACGGAGAGACGGACTGCTCACCCCCACCGCCCAGGAAGACCTGCCGCCGCACCGCCCGGAAGACCACCGCCAGCATGCTGCTGTCCTGGGTGCACCACAACTGGCCGGCACACGCTCGGCGCGCCCTGCTTCACCCCCCTCCTCCGGCGCAGGTGAGAGCTGTTAATCACAGGTCGGTGTGTATTTTCAAATGGCAGCCCATCTTTTAATGAAGCCCATGGGGAAGTGATGGGGAATGTGCCTGTGATTATCAGGAAGCTTTCCATGGATCCCTCCTCTAAAAACTAGGTGCGTCTTATGGTCAGGTGCGTCTTATAGAGCGAAAAATACAATAAGTGAAAGTTACAATCCAACCCTTCAGCCCCTTAAAGCAAATGAATATTTGCACTAAAACTATAGTGAGCAATTATACCAAACTCACTAGAAGTAGTGTCGTGTGAAACTATATAGCAAGAAGCATGTACCTCACATGATTCAACATACAATAAAGTCAGAAAACTAACATGACAGCATGCAATAAAACTGTAGCTGAAGACTTTAAAAGTCTGATAGAATAGTGCAATTAACATCCTGGCATACTGAAAAAAAGCAACACTTTGAGGTAGAGGTAAGAATGTACCCTTCTGTAATACTATATTTAAAGAGAACACAGTACATCTTACCTGTCTGGTGGCACAGCGAACCAATACTCATGCTTCTTGTCTCTTTGTGCATACTGCTGCATTGATGCACTTGCTTGTGATACAAATGTTTTTCGCATTGGCTTGCCAACTCTCAGACACAAAAACTTGTGTAATCGATGTCTTCTCTTCTCTTTCATCAGAGAACCTTTCATTAATTAAATAAGATAGTAAATGCCAGATCTTGCTCAGCAGGTTTTATTGGGTTACTACTAGTTACTAACCTACTAGTTCTATCTTATTTAATAGGACACTGAATTGTGCAGGTGGCATTATACAATGGAATCTACAAGGGACCAAGTTTAGTTTCATGCTATTCTTATTAATAAGCTTGCTGGCTCGCTCTCTCTCCCCACTGTCCCCCAATACTTTACCATTTTAAATCCAAATAAGTCAAGGGGCATGGATTAGAAGTCTTCTATTTGTTCTAGCAACATTTCTGTTAGGTAGGCTAAACCAAGCCATAAAGGCACCTTGGAAGCTTCACAACTGAGAACTGTTTTAAAGTTGGTTTTCCTAGATTCAAAACTCAGATTGAAACCAGATTTTTAAAAATCTTGGTTAAAAATCTTTATTCAAATTTATGACAGTCACACTTACTAGCGGGTAGATAAATCCCAATGGAATCAGTGTGGCTTACTTCCGAAAAAACTGCATAGGACTGTAATGCACAGCTGCATACATATGCAGATAAATGAACAAAATGTCTGAATATAAGTGTCTGTGCATCAGCCTTCATCTTGAGAAGAGGAATACTTCTTTAAAGTGGTGCCTCTCAGGCATGCTTTTTTTTAAAAAAAGTACATGTTTAGAGTTTATTGCCATATTAATGAGCAATTCTTTTAAAAATAAGCTGAAGAAATGTTGCTTGTCTGTTTGAAAGTAATACATTAGCCATTAAATCACATGATTCAAGAGCCATTAAGACAGATCCAACAAATAATAATTAATATCTAAAATGAAAGTGGCAGAGATGGAGACAAGTAAGTCAAATTCAAAATCTTAATTGTGGCTACAGACCAGCATATAACTGACCTACTGAAGTCACTTCACCATCACCATAAACAACATGAGGTTTAAATATATTAAATACTACATTAAAATGATGGTAAAGAATGAATGAATAAGGGGTAAGAATGAAACATAAAATATCAATAAAGCTTTCCAAAGACCTAGCTTTATTGTGTTGCAATACTCCCCTATAAAGTATAACAAATTTAAGTGCAAATAACTAACAGGAAAAAGAAACATACTAAATCGCTCTCTTTGGTTTACAGCATATTGTAGTGAACTGTGTCTACCTGCCAATGGAACAGTCACCACTGGCATAACAAGCTTCCCCTGCAATCTTCTTCCCAAATTCTGTTCCAAAGATTTGGGCGTACACTCCTGAGAGGATTAAATAATGCCACAGGAGAAACACAGCACAGGAGGCCCCCTTCTTATGTGATGTTAGATACACTCCCAAAACTTATACAATGCAGATTGACTAGATTCCAGGTTGATTCAGTACAACCCCTGAAATACAACTACACCTGAGAGGCCACAATGTCTTCCCCTTCCGCTACTACCCTCAATTCTCTACCACATTCCTGTAATACACCTTCCCCAACCTGCAGCCACCCTGATGAGTTGCGCTACAATTAATACATCAGACTTTTAACTTGCTTTTTTTCCTCTTTCAAGGCACCCAGGGAGGCTACAAAGAACACATAACTTCAATAATTCTCATGAGAGAAGCTTTAGTCCAACACGTCTGGAGGGTACTAAGTTGGGGAAGACTGCTCTAAAATCTTCATATATTAAGATGTATTTACAAATGGCAAAGTGTGAAAATTGCAGACACTCAATCTAAAGTTGAATAATTTTAAATATAGTTACTTTGAATACATTCTGAAAAATTAAACCAAGGGTGAGGCTAATGTCTCAGAAAACAGGCCTTTATATTACTCCAAGACATCAGCAGATATTTTATCACAGCAAAAAAAGCAAGCAAACATAAACTTCCTCTAGCACTTTGATCCCTTAGTAGAAGGTTGTCCAATTTTCTAAATTAAAGTGACTTGTTACCCCAATTACCTTATTAGACTTAATGTGGTATAAACACATAAAACCATGAATTTCCTGAAGAATATGTGCCTCAGAAAAAAATAGGCAAATAGAACACAATATATACTGCTTATTGTCCAGCATTTTCAGCAAAGGTTGTAGTCCAGCAATCAAGGTTCCTTTCCCAAGCATTCATGGCCATGATCAAAAGCTGTTATTCGATATATGCATTTCTTTTATAACATACTGATCCAGTCATGCCCTCTTACTTTTTTTAATTCATTTGAACTTCCATAGGGACTGATACCACTTTTCCACTTCCCCAACTGCTTTGCTTTGGTCTTTAAATATTATATTTGCAAGTATTAACTTTAGTTGTCCTCTCCTGCCTTCTCTTGCAAATATCTGCTTTTATGTTATTACGTACTATTGTATTTCAATGTATTTTATCATGTTGTAAGCCGCCCCGAGGTTTCGGCAAGGGGCGGCATAGAAATGTTATAATAATAATAATAATAATAATAATAATAATAATAATAATATGTCGTGGTAGAAGATATATCATTATCCTATGCTAAAAAGGGAAAAATAGTTCTTTCACTTCTTCTTAGTCTTTGCAAATTACACCACTGCTATACAAGTGAAAAACCTGTCCATTTTAATTCTCTTTTTGCCTGTAGATCTAAGTCAGATTGTTAAGATCTAAGTCAGATTGTCAGATTATTCTAAAATTGGTCCTTCTCTCCTTGTCTGTCTTAAGGCATGGTTATTCTCTCATTATGCTGTCCTGATTATTAGCATCCTTCTCATATGAAACAGTTTTTCTGTTCTAAATTCCGCTGCCTGCTGCCTTCTGTGTTGAAACTCCTTCAAGTATCTTCATTCTCTTTCTCAGTGGTCATTACGACTTTATTTTTACACACTATTTTGCTTTTCCAACATTTAGCATGTTGGAACTAAACATCTGAATTCTTATAATATTTCACTTTTACTCCTTTGTTCATTCATTGCACTGTGCCTTTTGAATTGAGCCCTACTGGATATCCTGACGCCTCCCTCTATTACTTTGCCCACTTCCTTTTCCCCTCAGATCTTTATAGTGTATATTAGAAATAATTCCTAAATGTTGGTTAAAGTAACATGTAACCGCCAATCAACTTATCTCCTAGAGGAATATTTGAGATGACAAGCATTTCATACTATGTGTAATTCATTTAGGTCAAAATTCCACTGGGAATACAACAGTAAGATAATTGTATGAGTGCTAACTAAGCATATAGAAAACAGTGTTAAAATTGAAAACCATGCATGGTTTTTTATATCCTGTGAAATTCTTACCTTCTATTGTTCCATCTGCTCTTGCTACTTTGTGCTTCATTTCAATATGTGTATCTTGATGCATATTATCCCTTTGTTGTTTGGTTTGTTGCATAGTATGGCTCTTCCACATTTTTCGCAGCGTCTCAATATCTGTCTCAGAATCTTGAGTTGACTGTTTCACAAGTTTTCCCTTATTTGTAATCTCACTTTTAGAATCATTTTCTTCAGAATGCAAACACTCCTGGCCTTCTGGCATATTTTTTGTCACAGGTTCCTGATCTGTGCTAACATTTCGATTTGTGCCATGTTGTGTTTGAGCATCAGCAGTAGCTTCTCCTACAGTGTCTTGAACTTCTTTTAGTGCTGTCTCTGCTCCTTCTGAACCAACAGTATCACTAACAGACCTTCTGTCATCATTCAAAGGCTGTTCTACACTGGAGTTTGCATCAGCAAGAACATTAGCCGAGTCTGAATTAACTGTGACAAACTGGTTTACTGTCTGGACAGATTCCAATGAAGCTCCAGAAGATTTATCTTGCCGAAGCTCATCAGATGAAACAAGCTCCTCCCGTATTGGAGAAAGTTCTGATTCGGTAAACACATCTTCTGAAAGAGATTCTTCTGTGCTTCTTGGAGCAGTGCTGCCACTGTCATTCCCTGTATCTCGCATCCTTACATCTATTTCATCAGTATTGCTTCTTGTGATTTTCTTGAAGTGGCAAAGATCTTTTACGGATAACTGATCTACATTACTATAAAGCAAAGAGGAACGTTGTGTTATACAGTGGCTGTTTACAGTCAACATTTTAAACACATTTAAAATAATATCTGCATGACTGAAGGATCTAGTTAAGGTTCTGGTTCCTCCCTTGTAGCCAGCAGAGAAACAAAGTAGGCTGCTATATTCTAGTCAGAAAATTTTAGTCCTCTCCTGCCAGCTTCCAACAGGCTAACTTTTGCCCCCCACATATAGTATGTTTTGCAAGCCTATTTTCAAGGATGGGCCAGTAATTCATTCCATTTTCTTCAATCTTGACTTTTGTACATTAAAAGCTTGAATGAAACCCATATTTTTGAAGAAAGTGCTATGGGTCTAGCTTTTCAAATTACTATTATTAGCAACAATACTTATATCCCACTCCAATCTGAAAGAAATCTCAAAGTCATGTGCAAAAGAATAAACCACAAACAAAAACAAAGCACACACAAATCTCTCCTCTCTCTCTCTCTCTCTCTCTCTCTCTCTCTCTCTCTCTCTCTCTCTCTCTCTCACAGACAGACCGACCGACCGACCGACCGACCGACCGACCGACCGACAGACAGACAGACAGACAGACAGACAGACCGGGGGTGCTTAATGGCTTAATAAAAATGTATCTACAGAACAGAAATAACAAAGTTACATTATAGCTTTAAATACAATCTGGAAGATGAGCCTGATACTTAAATTGTGTATTATACAGCTGTGATGAACTTTCTTTCAAGTGAAGGGCTAGAAAGCTGATACAATGAGCAGGGGGTTGGACCCGATGGCCTTTTTAACTGCATGATTCTATGAATATTGTGAACTGCCCAGAGAGCTTCAGCTATGGGCAGTATAGAAATATTAATAATAATAATAAAAAAACAGAAAAAAGGAGAAGATATGGTGCCATGCGTAAGTATTCGCTCTTTGGCACGCACCTTTTCAATTTTTCACACTGTTATAACCAGGAATTAAAATAGATTTAATTGACATTGTTACTATTTGATGTACACAAGATGCTGAACAGTATGGAGGTGCAAAATAGCTTTACTGTGGCACAAAAGTAAACGAAAGAAAATTGGTACTGACTGCAGAAGTGTTTACACCTAAGTGTTTAGGTGTGATATACCTAAATAAGCTCTGGTTTCATGCATTACCTGAAGTCACATACTGTAAGTAGTAAAATGGAGTCCACTTGTGTGCAAGTGCACTCCCACCTGATCTCAGATCAAATGTACCTACTCTCGGAAGCCCCGAGAACTTGTTGCAAACCTTATTTTAAAAATCAGCATAATGAAGACGAAGGAGCTACTGTTAAAACAATTTCTGAATAGCACAGAAGAAGCTACTGAGGATATACTGGGATACATTCTAAAAAATGTATCCCAAACAATGATCATCTCACAGAACACTGATAAAGCCTGTATTATAAAATGGACAGAATATGGTGCATTTGTGACTCTGCCTAGAGAAGGCTGTCCACCAAAACTAAGTGACCAGGTAAGGAGGAAAAGCATTTGAGAGACACTAAGAGGCCAATCATAACTCTGAATTAGCTGAGAAATCTGCAGCTGAAATGGGAGAAACCATGCATGGAATCACTATCACTCCGCTGCTCCACAAAGACGGGCTTTATGGAAGAGAGGTGAACAGAAAGCCACTGCTGAAAGAAACCCATATAAAAGTTCTTTGGGGTTTGCCAAAAGATGTGTGTGAAACACAGCAAATATGTGGGGAAACATTCCCTGGGGTGATACGACTGAAACTGGTTTGTTCTTGTGGTCAAAAACTAGGCATGGAGCCAACACAGGACACTGCCTTGAGATCACTATCCCCATGGTGAAGCATGCTGGTTGCAGCTGCACTATGTTGGGAGGAGACTTTTCCTTGGCAGGGAAAACGGGTCAGGATTGAGGACGAGTTGGATGGAGCCAAACACATGGCAATTCTAGAGGAAAACGTGTAGGTGACCTGGGACTAGGGTGGAGCTTCACTTTTCAGCTGGACATTGACACTAAACACCCAAAGTAACACTGTTATATGCCATCCAGTTGTCTCTGACTAATGGCAACACTATGAATGAAAGCCTTCCAAAATGTCCTGTCCATGACAGCAGTGTTCAGCACTTCAAATTCAGAGCTGTTACTTCCTCTGTGGATTTAAAAAGAACCTAACCCACGCCTAGATCTGACTGCGCATCAGTGGCAAGACAGGAAAGCTGCTGTTCACTGACAGGCCCCATCCACCTTGACAGAGTGGAAAGAGTTTAGCGGGGAAGAATGGACAAACACAAACCTGAGAGTGACTTTCCCAAGCAGAGTTGCAGCAAAGGTGATTTCACCAAGTATTGAGTTGGTTGTGAATACTTCTGCAAGCAACGAATGTCAGTTTGCTTTGTTTACTAACTTTTGTGTCACAGGAAACCTATTTTGCACCTCCACAGTACTGAGCATCTCATGTACATCAAGATGTAAGAATTCCAATTAAATCTAGTTCAATTCCAGGTTGTAATACAAAGAAAGGGGGAGCATATTTTTGCAAGGCACTTGATAAAAAAAAATGAGTATTTGCTTCTCAAGAGTGTGTATGTGCGCGTGTGTGTGCATGCTGCATATACACACACATCTTTTGTTATTGAAAGTGTTTTAAAGTAGTTTTATTACTCTTTAGAAAATGAGTATAGCCATAAATATAAGGAAAAGCAGTCAAACAATTCAGTTAAACCTTACATCTTCAAAGAACAGTGACAACTAAAAATATATCACAGCTGCTCACTATGATTTTACTAATCCTGCCTTCTATTTTCCCAACTTTAATAAACTGTAGCCTGCTAAGTGCAGGAAATGACAGATAGAAGAACAAAGGAAGTTGCTTTATATTAAGTCAGACCATGGTTATCAACACGGACTGGTACCAGGATTTCAGGTTTGATTCCTTTCCTAACTCTACTTGGAGACATTGGGAGTTGAACCTTGGATCGTCTGCATTCAAAAATACATACTCTTCAGTACCTTATTAAGATTCAAGTATGTTGCAAATGTACATATATTATATTCTACCATCCATGAGTTGCACTAAAAAATAAGCACAATATTCCATGCAGAACACAAAAATCTTGCTTGCTCTCCTTGTAATAGTGAGAAGAGAACTTTGGCAAGTAAGATAATACATACCAAGACTTTCTCAAAGCATGTATATGTAGCAGAAAATACACCATCCAGCGACAAAGCAGAACAGAAGCTTAGAATTTCTTTTTCTAGCCATAAGTTCCAAGCCAGAACACATTCTAAGCTGGAAATGGGAAGCAGAGGTGCACAGAAATGTCTATCAGTCCCTCAGTGCCCAGGAAGCCTGGAGCCAATGCACACTCCTTCCTCAACTCAGGCTCTGATCTGCAAAAGGGCTGAGAGCTTGTTGCTGCCTTGGTCAGAATCCCTCTCCCTAACTCTGTATTTAATGCTTAAGAAAGCAAGGGATTTTGCATAAACTTATGCTGCATTTCAAACTGGAAATGAGCTGTCTGAGATACTACAACTGATGTCAATCTAATACTGAATTTATTATCTGCTTAGGCTCAGTATTATTATTAGGCATCAATGTTCCAATGTAGTGACAAGCATAGCATTTTTTTCTGAATTATCTCTATCATCATCACTGAACTAGTTTTACAGGAGTATCAGTATTTGCAAACTCCAGCTTATTTGCATTAACCAGTGAATCTGCTCTGCCACTGTGCAGCTCCCTTTGACAGATGAAACATACAAGGAAATTGACCAGGCAAAAAAACACACATTGGATAGACATATATAATCACACTTGTAAAAGACTGAGAAAGCAAAGAAAATAATTACAAAAACAGTCACACAATTTTCAGTGGGCATTGAAAAACGAAACGAAATGAAACCAAACGAAACACTCAAACTGCACTTTTTCAAGGCTCTGGAGCTGGATAAGTGGCAAAAGGGATAACAATCAGAGTGGGAAGTGGAAGACAAGACTGGTTCTGTGCAAGGGACATTGGGATACTGCCTGAAAGGCTGAGGGGGAGAACTTACATTGAGCCTGATTGTCTGTTAAGCGCAATGTGGGTTACTCCATGAACAACCCATGCTGCATAGCTTATTCACAGAGTGCAAGGATCACTTCTTCATTTGCATTGTGTGTATTGCAAAAATCACCTCTATGTTTTTTCTTACTAGCAAAAGCTGAGTTAAGTAGACATTAAGATAGCTGATTTTAAAATGATGCAAAAACATAACAAAGCAAAAGCAGTCCTGCGGCTCTTAGGAGAGGAATAAAAGGCAATTTGTACAAGAACTACAGTAAACAATGCTGCTCCCATGCAATTTAATGCAAAAATTTCATTCATCTCTCTCTCTCTTGCACGCACATATCTATCTTACATGGATAATGAATTCTTTATTTTGCCATCTGCAATATCTTTATACATAGCCGCTGACATCACTTCTTCCATTGGACACATGATGCCATAGTCTTCACAGCCGTTCTCTTGAACCAATGGATCAGTTTTATGTGGATCAAACATTATATTATTTGGTGTCACCAGCAGCACACCGTTGACTGTCCCCTAGGGTAAGAAGAAATGCCATCAAACATTTCTTCCCCAAGATTAGCCATCCCTTTTTAAATAATTTCTACTAGTACTGAAGATGTTTAACAGCTACTGAACATTTATGCTAAAAGCTATCTAACAAAAAGCATTCTTGTACGAGGAAGAATGGCACAACAATTCTAAGGAACATAGTATTTAAGGGAAACCAGTGTTCCCTACTGAAAAGATTCTGTTCCCATGTTGGGCAACCACTGCTTTGGCTAAACCAGCACATTTTGCTTGCCTTTTCTGAGACCTTGTAAGATCCTTCTGCAGTGTACTTAGCAAATGATGAAAGCCTACCATCTAGACAATAAGATTTAAAAAACAACCTTATTGATTCTTGTAATACTTGAAACTTTTATGTCCAAGGATATAGAAAAAGAGGCATGTCAAGAATCATCTGCCTTTGGTCTCCCTTTCTAGAAATAAAGTAGCCTAGGCATATGCTGACACCAGCAGTTTCTACCCAGAATCTTTAAAAAGAATTTTAAAATTAAGAGAATTATATTCCTCATTATGAACTTTAGATTATCAAGGTTACAGTATATAGAATGTTCACATAACAGCATCTAATTTATACAATGCCTAATTATAGATGGTAGGGGCATAAATGTAAATATCAGCTATATTCAGAGAGTAGTGTTTGATATACTATGTTTTCTGTTCATTAAACAGGGAGAATTATGCTCTTGGGAAAGATCTAATCACCTACATTAAGAAGCACCCAGCTCACTGTCACCCGTTAAGGAAGGATACTTCAACCTTTTCCCTGATGTGGCTTATGCACTGCTTAGATATTATGGAAACACTTTTCAGCATCCACAACTGTGTCCTATTCCTCCCATTCTTCAATTTACACATCTCTTACTGGCAACTTAAATTGTTGTGCAACAGGTTTTTCTTAGTGCTGGAAATTTGAAGGAGCTTAGTTTGTTGAAGTTTACATCCCAACTCGTTGCTCCTTCTCCCATGGCAGCTATTTTGTGACAATGTCCAAGACAGTTTTGCAAATTGCTCAATTTGCTCATAGCCCCAAAAGGTTGCTCATTCCTGTACTAATAAATTTTCCCACCCTTCTGCCCCAAGTTATTGCATCTGGAAATTCTTTCATTTTTACCATCTATTATCCTATATGGTAGATCAGGCTGAAAGATAAGAGATTCACCCATTAATAACTTTGTAAGGAGTTTTGCTATTATGTATCGACTTTTATCTAAAATTGTAATTATATTAGTATTGTCATCGTCGTTGTCATCATCATCATCATATACCTTGAGCAACATTTTTGGTTGAAATGCAGAATCGTGATGAAAATGACGGAACCCTTCATGTTTTATTATCTGGCTATAAGAAGCTTTCATGCACAGTTGAAGATTTTACGCTTATTCTTCCCACATTTATACCTTTTCAAACAGACTGAAACAAAACCAGGAAATATTTTCTCTCTATAAAAATAATCAAAGTGCTCAGCTAGAAGAATTTGTAAGGAAAGCTTGTCTGCTCTATGAGAGTACCTAACACAGCCTTTTTTAAAGTAATGTAACTTTTTATTTAGTCCACATGAATAAGAGCTAACCCCTGGCATTCTGCTAATCCCAAAGTCATGTTAAACTTTGATTTCATTGGAAGCTACTTAACTGTTACTGGGAAGAAAAGAGCATATGACCAAAATAAGACCAGAGTTGAATTTCCTGATGCATTCCTGTTCCACTGCTAAAGTTAAGAGCATCAAAAGTCCTGCAACCAGCTAAAACACTCAACAGTAAACAAGGCCAAAAGAAACCAAATCAGAGTGGAGCAGTTCTCTTTTTTTCTTTTTAATTAATGAGCACTAGGTTGTTTATGGCAGACTATGAATAAGACACTTTTTAAAAATGCGGACTTCTCTAGCAGAAACAGAATAAACAGTGTATTATAAAATGAACACAGGGACCATATTATTTGCAAATTTTGTTTCCAAGAAAGCCAGATGTGTTAAAGTTATACTGAAGTTAAAGGGCCAATATGAGAAAAATAATAATAGAATTAAGCTCTTTGTAAATAGAGGTCATTTGTCAGTTCTTCCAAAGGAAGCATTCATCTATATGATGAAACTGTTACATGCTGTTCTCTCCTTTGGTATGAGGGCAGTTAGTACAAGGATGTTCACATTTTGAACTTACAGCTAATAATTAACATTTAGTTCTTCCACTTGAGCTTTAAAAATCCATGAATGCTAGTTTTACACTTTCTAAGCTGAACTTAAACAATTATTTTATCAGTAAAATACATATAAATTGAAAACATTCAATAAAACCTGGTGTGCAGACACGTGGCTGCTTTAAATAACAAGACTGGAGAAGCTTATTAAGGAAGGCACTTTACATGTTATTCTGAACATGGTGCCTTCATAAGAGACATAAATGCCTTGGCAGGTTATCCTGCAGAATGTTTTGGTACATTGCGGAACCTTACATATTATCCATCAATTCTTAATGGAGCAGTTGGTTGCCTCTGGCTGTTTATCAATTTTCGAAAGGCTGGATTGAATAATAATTCTCATATACTTCTCATTCTATTCTTTTCAAAATTGACTAAGAATAATACTAATAGCCAAGATGCTATAACTAAGTCTAAACTCTTTCTTTCCAAGTACAATGTATGCAAATTCTTGCTGGAGAAAATTTCTACTTCTGGCCACTGCATGAGAAATAAAGATCAGTTCAAAGATACAAATATAAGCTATTAGAAAAACCATGTACACGAGAACATGATATTCCTAGGAAATAAGGGAACAGACCAGGGGCAGCAACCTGTTATTCACCAACTGTTGAGAGACTATTATTCTCAGCTGTCCCAGTCAGTATGGCCAATGGTCCAAGGTTTATGGGATTTGTTGCTCACATCTGGGGGACACTATGTTCTCTACTCCTTAAAGAGACTATGAGCCCATAGCTCAAGTAAAGTCTCAATTGCATCTTTCAGATCCACAATTACTTCTGTTTTGCCAGAAATTATTACTATTACAATAGCAACAAGACAGATATGGTCCTGATAAGCTGCATTTTAATTAACTGCAAATTAATCATCACACATGCTTCCATTTTATATGAATGGCCCTTAAAAAGTTGATGCATAATAAAGGAAATATAAAATAGCAATAGATTTTCTATTGGAGAGAGAGTCTTCTATACCTTGCTGTTAGTTATGTATTTGCAATTAATTTTGAGAAATTTTTCTGTAAAAGCTTCTTCCTCCTCTGATGTAGATGACACCACTCTTGTGGGCCGAACAAATATGTTTGATGTGGCTGTTGCTTCTTTACAATGCACCCCATCTGAATCCTACAGAGACAAACAGAAGATTGATACAAGAAAAATTAGAATTGTCTTATAGCCCCTCCTTACCCTGTATATTCTTGTCCAAATCTTTATAACCTCAGTACAGAAGCCTGAAACTGAGAAAACAGACCCAGTTAAAATAAGCATACAAGTATGACATAACTACATCAACTTGTGCCATTTCCAATCAGTGCCCAGCCTCCTTCCCTCCCCCTTATGGGCCATAAATCCAGATAGCTGCAAATGGCTCTCTATATAAAATTAAGGGTGTCATGCACTTCTCGGATCGGATGAATGCATCTGCTGCAAACACAACAGGACTGTGCCCTGAAGATATCAAAAACAGAATCTCTCTTAAGGAAGCACCCTTGTCACCCTTTCAATTAGTCCAGATGACTTCCTTGTTGAAATATTTTTCAGCCACAGAATATCTTGACATTGATTAGATCAGAAAAGTCCAAAAAATATTCTAAGGAATGCACTCCAGCTTTGAAAAAAGTTAATTTGCATTTACATCTACTTACACTTACTGTTGTCTTCTCAGCCTCTGCTTCTGAAGAAGTGGGTGATAAAGGACTTATGGGACTAAGTGAAGGAGAACTCTCCACACTGGAAACATATTCTGGATCAGGAACATATAAAATCTATACATGTATAAAAAAAATCTTTTGATTAAGGTAAGTTACCAACTTTTGATAATTAAGTATTAAGGTGGACATGTGCTGCTTAGAAAGATTTTATAACAAAGATGCTTACATCCCAGTGTTTCATATATAATGGCCAAAACTCTTCTACATTTTGTTTTGATTTAAATAACTTTTTTCTTCAATTGTCACATGGTCTGTTTAGGGTTCTACACCCAAACAAAAGTAGATCCTTCTAATTGGTTTCAGTTCAATTACAGCAGATCACAATTACAGCAATTACAAATTAACCATAGATGTGCTGCCATACATGATTTTCCTGCTTTCTAGTTGGCTGAAAGCTTCTTTTTTCATAATAAACTCTGAAAAAATAATAGGACTCATATTCCTGTTTTAAATTACTAATTTCTTTTTGCTTCCTGGATACCAATAGCATTTAATCACATTACAGATTGTTTTGTATGTGCACCATACTCTCCAAAGATAGTATGAAAATTTCAACTGGAACCTTAAAAAAAAGAAAAGAAAAGCATATGAAGAACAGAATGATTATGTGACTAGAACGGAAGATAAATGTATAGTTTTCAGTAAAATTGAATTGCAGAAGCCTACTTGGATTATGCAAATTCATCAAATTGGTATGAGTAATCACATTTTTGCAGCTCTTCTATGGATCTCACTCCATATACCTCCCCACACATTCCTATATACTCTAGGTGGTTTACAAGAAATTAAAACCAACAGTGATTAAAATTGACTAAAAATGACATATTAAGTAAAATTGATATGAGAACCATTCTGGGAGGGTCTGTCAACTCTGTCTTAAAGGGGGCAATCTGGGATATCAAATGCAATATAGGGTTTCTACCTAGAGATTTTTCTTCCTCTGTGTAACAAAGCATTCAAAAATGTGATGAATGAACATATGAATAAATCTACCATATCTTTCCTGAGACACTTATGTCATACAATAGGTACTACCTGTCCAGGAACAACTGCTCTGGAAAACAGCTTGTTTAACTGAACCAGTTCATTAGGAGTTGTATCAAACTTCAAGGCAACAGTATTCAGAGAATCTCGTGATTCAACCTGTGAAGAGAATACACATACTGTTTACATATAGCATTATATAAGTCTACTAAATTATACAGTGTTTTTAAATGGCAGCCCAGAAAACTGTTTCTGTGAAGATTTCATCATATTTTAAAAAAGAAAAAGAAGCAGAACAGGTACAAACCATCATCTCCTTAAAGCACAAATGTTCCAATCAATTCAACACAGAAGCAGTCTATGATAAGACATGAAGATTATAGTTACATGGTATTAAATGGTGTTTGAAATGAAGAAATGAAATGAGTTTGAATAACCTCAAAAGGACCAATGTATTAAAATAATACTAAGAAATCCCACATTCTTATTAGCAATAGCATATACTCCCTGGATTACTAAATAACTAGCTCTAACAGCTTGACCTAAAAAATATTTTTCCCAAATCTAACATACACTACATTAAAGAAATATTTGTAGAACTCTTACATATATAAGAGCTTTCTCTAATCTGCTTGTTGTGGCATATTACTAATTACTCCTTGGGAATGGGACACTGGTGCCTTTCATTCAAGATACACATTGTTATTACATTAAAAACTTTCTAGGCCTCTCAGGCTGCAGTCACTTATCTGGGGATAAGCCCCATTGAATTCAATTGAGTTTTCTTATGAATGGGCAGACGCAGGACTGTGCGGTTAAGTAACAACCCAAGCAAAGAAATAGGCACTACATGGAGAAACAAGCATGCTACTTATTACAGCATTAAGCAAAATACTGTACTAAACAAGGAATATTTATTTAACATTCCTTAAACTTGGTATGTAATTGTATTTGACACACACTGGAATGGGTCCAGAATTTTATATGCTACTTTTCAGACAATTTACTGGAAATATAATGAAAAGGGAATTAGGGTATTCCAAATTGTTTGATGTGTTCTAAGTGTTTTTATATGGACTTAAACATGAATTATATGGAAAAATAAACAAAACATGCTGAAACAGATACCAAATCCTTTAACTATCTGCAGAGATTCTCCTTATATTAAATGTTGCTCTAGCAATTTTGCTCTAGCAACATTCATGTGAAGGGTCACTGAATATGAATTTAAGTGTAAGGCAAAAACATTTGGTACACGTGAGCCACAGTGGCTCATACTGCATTGAAGACAAGTTTCTGTTCAACCGTGGAACCTGTAGTCAGAATTTTGAACACGAGCCATGATGCTCAGAGTAGCTTTCATCAAATCATACATTCATCCTGTTATTGCACAGGATTCTTGTGAGAACAAAAAACAAAAACAAAACAAACACCTATAGCTGCTTGAAGAGTGAGATACCAATAAATATCAAAGCATATTTTAACTACAAACCATTTTTGTGCTACACAAGAGACCGTTCAGTACTTAAAAAAAAAAAATCTACCTCTCATCAAGTCTGCTTTAAATGTGTGAGGAGGATCTACATTTTCTTGTTGCATATATAGTTATCTCTTTATTCAATGGTCATCACTAGGGTGTTGTCACCATTGCAAAAAAACCCGCATGCCCTCCTTTGGATAACAGATTCTGGGTTTCAGATTATTTGAATAATCAGGGTATATGCCAGCTTCAAACTGTTCTGAGACCTATTAGTGAATTAGCAAGGTAACTTATTATAAAAAAAACATATATAGTTGCAGTAGAACTGTAATTTGCTTTTTCTGCAGAGTCCAGACTGGCTTCCACAGAATTATTAGTGCCTCCCACTTAGCCAAAGCTGGAGTCAGCCTGATTTGGTTACACTAAACATAATATGCAAGTGATTTGCGTTTACACTATTTATATTGCATTTAAGCATTCTTATCCTGCCTATCCAGACATTTTGCTAAACTAGGGTTAAGGAGATACAGTGCTGCCTTGTAGTTCAAACAATTCTAACTTCGAACGATCCAGAGTTCAAACATTACAGTTGAGATAAAATTGCTCCGCGGTTCGAACCTTGTTTCCAAGTATGAACTGTGAGCAAAGTGAAAAAAAATGTGGTTGCAGCAAAAACATGATCAGTTGTTCTCCCAAGTTGAAAAAAAATTACAGTAAAAGACACATTGTCATTAATCCCCCTCACTTTGAACACACTTATCCCATCATTCTTGCCGCTTTCTGAAGCAGTTCTGAAAGTCCTCTTTCATGAGTGTCTTGGCTGCCTTGATGCTCTGACTTGAACTGATTTGTCTTGTCTTGAAGTAGCAGAAGTTTACTGGTATTGTTTAGGGTCTGGGAACGAATTAATTCACTTTCCATTATTTCTAATCAGGAAAACTGATTCAGACTATGAACGATTCAGAGTTCAAATGGCCTCCTGAAATGCATTAAATTCAAAATACGAGGCACCACTGTACTTAGTAGCATTTATAATGTCCATTTGTGTTTAGTATTTTAGCATTTGACTGAAGCCACCCAGAGATTCCTGTTGGATTTAAACATAAGTAAATAAATAAACAATGACTGGGTAACTCAGCAAGTAGGCCACGAATGCATTTTGGTAAACTCAGATGCTGTAAAAAAGTGGCAGCTATAATTTCACAAGAAGTTCAACTCAAAATGCTCCTGTCCCTCTGCACATCCAAAAAATGTATGAGCAGTTACCAAAATATATTGTCAAATACTAAATATTTTTAACATACAATAAACACAATCAGAATGAGTACTAGAGCAATTTGTGGCCCTCCAAAAGTTTGTGCACACAACTACCATTGTCCCTCACTAGTGATTTTGGTGCCTAGAGCTGATGGTAGATGCAAACATCTAAAGAAACACAAGTTGCCTGCTTCTGCATTAGAATTTAAACATGTCTGGATGTAGAGTCACCACCTTTTTATGACATATGCTCTATTTGAACTGCATAACAGCTATTTACATAATGTATCCTGCAATTTACATTTGAATGTCAGGACACACTGCTAACCTTCTCTCTTGAAAGTCCTATTGCACTATAGACCACTGCTTGGATTTCCTAGAGTTTCTGAGTAATAAAATTTAAAGCCTACTGAGTGCAGTTTGCTCAAGGAAAACAAAAAGAAAAGAAAGAAAGCAGGAAGTTAGTGAAACTGTAAGAACGTACATTGATAATATCTAAGTTTCAGAAAACCTATGCGGTGTTGCTTTTTATGGACAATTACATTTGTGACTAACTTGATGAACTGTTCCAAGTGACTGCTAATCACAATGCTTATCACAGGAAAACACATTTCCGTCTATTTCTGGAGCCAGTTTAAAAAAAAAAAAGTGGAGCCAGAAACTTCCAGCACCAAATGAATAAATTATTATTCTAAAAGAGTTTGGCAGTTACACCTACAAGAAAACTTCCCTTTCCTATAAGAATATTTTGAAGTAAACCTAACACAGATATTTCTCTGAATGTGTGTGAAATATTTAATTTTCATTTATTAATATAGTATTTACAAAATTTAGCATTAAATAGCATTTTCAAGGTGTTATTCTAACCTTTTAATTAAATGCCTTTCCATTAGAAAGGGTAAGCACTTTGAAAAATAAAAAATCCTTGTTTTTAAATTTGAAATATTTAAATATTAGTTGCCTTTCCTGGGATTATAACAAGACATTGAAATAAAAAAGTTGCTGAGTCATGGAAATGGATGGGGAGAGGAGAAGGGGGCATACTTTGTCAACAGGTAGAAAAGTGAACAAGAAACAGAAAATAAACTCCTAAATTATTATGCAATAATGTTTATGGAACATTGAGGGACGGGGTGAATTGCTGGATAAAATCATTTCAGCCTTATCAATAGACTATCATCTACTCCAACTGACAGAAAATGTAATTTGGAGCAGTGTCATTAGCAATACTGTAACTTGTAGGGTCCAAATTACTACTGCTACATCTATTTAACAACATTTTAGACAGCACGCAAAAAAATAGCAGATTGTTTTATGTTCACTTTGAAATACTGCCAGCTTGATACAATAATGCAAATTACTTAGGTAAAATTCTCAGCCAGTGGTATTCTATTGGTTGACTGAAGACTACACTGAAAGGGGACGGTATACTGGAAAGAATGCCTGCTGCCACAACTTGATTTACTTAAAGTGGTTGAAGTACAACTAAGATAATAGCTGCACTTAAGCCTAGTGACTCCAAAGCAGGTGATTGCCTGACAGTTCTTTTACTTACATCTTTTCATAACAATAAAATACACACCACACTGGGTAGATACTTCTTGCAAGGTTTCAGAGAAGCTTTTATGCTTGTGGTTAAAACAGACCCATTCTGTTAAATGCAGACAGCAAAACTGCTGACAGATCAGTTTGCATTACTTTGTTTACTCTGATAATCTACTTAAGGCAGAAAAAGAAATTCACTTCCTAATTACATTTCATGGTTATATATTAGTTAGTACTTCTGCTATTCCAGTCAATGGAAGCAAGTTGGCAGTGCAACTTTAGAGTAATTAGTTCTGCTGTTAGACATTTACAAAAATTATACACATAGAATCTGATATTTTGAATGTACTAAAACATGCACTATTTGTTCTATTACATGGTATTTTTATTTCAAAAGACACATTAAGTTGTTTACAATGTGCCCATTTAATTATACTACATTTAGAGTCATAGCTGTATAGGCAATATATAACAAAACATTTCTCAATTCAGTTTCCCTTAGTAACCAGATATACGAAACACTGACTGCAGTACTGTTTGAGGGTCATTTGAAGAACATAACAGTTACAGAAAGGCTCCATTTTCAGATATTGCTAGAAAAACAGAAGTAGGTTTGGAGTAGCAATACAGCAATGGAAATTATTGAAAGAACACAGTAATGTTTTTCAAAGACATTGCTAATATGGACTAACATCATGTTCACCTGCATTTAGCAGAATGGTAACCACACTGAAAGCTTCATAAGCAGTAAACAGATTCTGAAAATCTGATTTTCTCAAAGTAAAAGAATTTGTGCCTCTAAAAGAATCTTCTGCTGCTTTAAAGTTATTGTTTTGTTGCCACGGAGTACTGTAACGGTTAACTTTGCCTCTCTAAAATTACTCTGCATCATTCCTGAAAAGACTCAAAACAGTACTTGTCAATCCTGTTAAGATGACTAGGTGCCTGCCAGAGCTACAGACTGAACAAACAAAAGGTAATATGCACCAGTCTTTTTGAGAGAACATTCAGCTAGCATTAAAATACCTGAATCTTGTTACTAACATTTTATTTATATTATGTAGAAAACTACTTACTGTGTATTCTATAGTTCCTTTAGGCTTCTGAAAAGACATTCGTCTCCCATCTTTCTTGTCTAGGTTTTTCTTCTGACCAGTATCTGAGAAAAATTGAGGCAAAGCACGCGTTACATTCATTTTTCTCTCCCTCTCAGTATTGTCACAGGCTGTTGACTACAGCCCTGCAGGCGGACATCTAATTCACCAGTTACACAGCTTATATCTTGTGATTCTCAGCTCAGCCTAACAGACAACTAGCTGGCAGAACAGGGACTTTGCTCCTCTGCTTTGCTTTAAGGATTTGACCAATACAAGCTACTCCAGTGATTTGGAATGTCCTAGCTTTAAAAATATTTGCAATCCTCATGATATTAATTCACAAAATGAAAAGACCGTTAGAGGGAAACATAACAATTTCACCATATTTCTGTAGCTGTATATCACACTGGATTTGCCTGTCATCTATAGTAGGCTATGCACAGTTTCTGAGATCAGAGACAATTTAAAGCCATAGCTTTTTTAAAATTAGCATTACCACAAAAAGCACACAGAGGTCTTTAAAAGTGTTCCATTAAAGACCTACAACAGTGCTCTTTTGTCAGGTACAGGAAAACTATAATATATTAAGAACATTATTAACATTCTCCTGAGGACCCATTTGAAACACTGAAAGATAAATATGAATTTGCATTGACTGAAGTTTGCTCAGAAGTGCACACTTTCATACTGATCACAGGAAAAGCCAGGCAAGAAATCTCCATTTTGCTCATTTCCTTTTGACAATTAATTCCTTGAACTTATAAGCAAATAAGAGATTAGAGTAAAAGGCCATTCTGGTCATTCTAGGGTAGCCCATAAATATGGTGATAAATAAAAAAGTATAGTACTGTTAGTATTTATTGCACAAAGATTCTCCAATATCAGGCAAAAAACTACTTCCAAACTTCTCTTTTTCCCCCTCTCAGGTTACAAAATAGCTTTGCATATTTGAAAGCTGAGAAAGAATGTCTTCCCCCCTCCCCCTACACACAGAGAGAGAGAGAGAGAGGGGGGGGGGAGATGTGCAGGAGAGTTGGGCTGGGACAGCCCCACTTATTTGTAACTATGGAGAGTTACAAACCCAATCCGGATTGGATATTGTTAAGCAGAACAAGGTGTATATTATGTATATTTGTAATTGAAACAGGAAAAAATAATACAAGTACTTAGCCGGAGCATCAACCAAGTTGTACCTCATAAGAACAGCAGCATTATATTTTGAGAATAGTGGTTGTGAAAGAATATAAAAAGTCATGGCTAGAAACATGCTATGTCCTGGTCATTTATATTTATGGCAGAATATCACTTCAAGATAACCCAGCCCCAGACTTGGGAAATTTTGCTCAAGTGAATGCTGAACACAGCTCATTAATACATCTGCCTTATGTTTATTAGCTTTGCATCTTCATGTTTTGTCTGCGTGGAATGTCATACCTTCTGGCTAGAAAAGTATTTTAACTAATACTGGAGGTAATACTGGAGGTCCCAATATCCACTTTCCAGACAACCAAGTACTGAGAACTTTTCCAGCCCTCCTTGCATATCTATCCGGACAGCAGACTTCTGGCTAAAGAATACTAAAGCACAGACAATCAGAGTGAGGAAACACAGAAAGCAAGGTCACATTAAAAAGAGAAGTTATGCAAAAGAAAAAGGACGCTCAAGTCATCCTCAACAAAGAATTTCATCCATCATAAAACGTAATATGTAGTGATTAAAACCAAGACAGTTTATTGTAAGGTTTGATCACTATAAAGAAAGCTACAACAGAAACAACAAAACCCCCAAGGAACATTAAATATTTAAATAGCAATCAAAATCAAGGATTTTTTTTCATCAATATATAAAAATATTTTCAAAACTTCTTTGCTATCTATATAAAGCTTTCATGGCACTGCACTGTTTTTCCACAGGCTTAACTAGCTAATTGAGCAAGACAGAACATTATTAATGGTATCTTGGCAAGCTTTATTTAATGGTAATTTATTATGTACTATTGTATTTCAATGTATTTTATCATGTTGTAAGCCGCCCCGAGGTTTCGGCAAGGGGCGGCATAGAAATGTTATAATAATAATAATAATAATAATAATAATAATAATAATAATAATAAAAAGCTGCATTAAAACCTCCATGTCTTTATCATAGAAACTTAATAATCATTTAAGCACACATACTATCCAAGAGACTGAAGATTATATTTAGACATCAATCTCTCGTTGTTAACAAGACCAAGAGTTTTTGCCCTTTTGACAAAGCTGCTGCAACTTACAGTGGTATTGGGCCAAGCTGGTGTTTGAGGAACTTCAGGGCTTCACTTCTCGTCAGTGAAGATTATACCCACCAGATTATGCAGGCCGTTAGAAATAAACATGCTATCTCATTTCCTGCTAACTAGTTATATCAGTATGGATTTTATACTGGCTGTAGTAGCTTTCACCTCTGCTCTGTATCTTCCCAAGATTAATTATCCAAAATACAGATGCCTTCTCATCTGTTGTCTAAAAATGGAGAAACAAAATCTTAATTCATTAAACCCAAAAATTTCTTGAAAAAACTTCAAGAAAGTGATTTTTAATTTTAAGCAATTTTTAATCTCAAAAGATCAGTCACAATTTTGAAATCAGAAATAATGTGATGTGTTGCAGAAAACAGGCTTCTGAGACAGAATCAGAAATTGTTCTACAACCTTCCATTGCTAATTGGATCTGTGATTGAAGAGACATCCACAAAAGAGGTCATATTGGACAGGATCAAAGGTACATTTTTTTAAAAAAAAACCTGTTTATATAGGCCACATATGGAGAAAGCCTGACCAACTGGACGGATACAGCCCATGAGGGTCCCCATCTTCCCTGCCAGATGCTCGCCTGGGAACAGTAGCAGATAATCACATATTTTTCCTGCTGCAAATTGACACTTTTGCCATTGTAGCACAGAACAATCCCCATCTCCAATTAGCTGCTGAGATAGTGTAGCTGGGGAAGAAGCTGCTGAGTTCCTCCTACTTATTTGCAAATACTTACTACTGAGTACACATGCAGAAAGTTAATGTTTCAGATGTTGTTTAAAGGGCTTCCGAATGAGTCAGTCTTGCTTGTGTCTGAATAGATATGCAAAAGCCTTCTTTTGTGGACATGCACACTTTACCATTTTATATCCCACTTTTTCTTTTTTAAAGATCTCAAAGCAGCTTACATCATTTTTCTCCTTCAGTTCTCAATCTTATTACCACAACAACAAACCTATGAGATAGGTTGGGCTAAGAGTTTGACTGGCCCAACGTTGGTTTCATGGATGAGCAGGGACTAGAATCCAGACTGCCTGACTCCCAGTCCTTACACACTTAATCACCACATCCTCAATGTGCCTTTGGCCCAGCCCATGTGAGAAGTGTGGCATGCTAGACCTTTCTTAAACTGGAATTTATTCCTTGGGCTACACACACACACACAGATATCCCTCAACTGTGAGGAAGGTGTTTATATGTATATATTTTAAACAAATCACTTAGAATATAATTTCATTATACAATTTCATTTGTATTCACAGGGATAGTAAACTTTAGTGAGAAAAGAGAAAAACATATTTTTAGACATTCTTCTAAAAATATTTTTATCATAAACCTGTTCACACCATATCATGCCAACATATCTTGACATAAACTGGTGATCTTCAAACTAACTGTCAAGAATTGGCAGTATCTACAGAATTGCTTGGGTTGATAACTTTAGAAGGACTTCTGCACAAGTTCACTTAAATTTTAATTTATTTTAAATTCTTTCTTGAAATAGCCAACACACACAAACCAAGCCGCTTTGAAAATTCTCAAAATTTCAAAGTCAGTTTGCTTTGAGACATGGGAGAGACTGTGAGGAAAACCTGCAAGAATAAAGTTCTCCTGGACTAATGGAATTAGTTTTAAGGGTTTTAAATTTTCTTCTGCAGCCCTATGCTTTTAACTTCTTTCACTACGGAAACAAATAAATGTTTACATAGTAAGGAATGGCAAAAGATAAATATGCAACCAAAATATAGTAAGACACATGTTACTATATTTGACCCAAAGTATAGTATGACATGTGTTCTTGAATATTTCCTGTGTGAGTTGAGTTACTTTGCTTTGATTTCACATTTCATTACCAAGAACTAGTTAACAACCTTCTAACTCAGACAACAATTTTCAACTAAGACTAGGTGGTGACTACGATGTATTGTTCATATCCACACAATATTTTCAAACCAAAGTTATCAGCAAACTAATTATGAGGGGTGTTCAATGTATTCTCGGTATCAGGTTGATTTGCTATTGATGTGGGTAATTTAATTATTTCATTAGCTAATGACACTATCTGAGGGTATACATGCAAAATTTCAAATAAGTGTGATCATTAGTTCCCTAGTAATCCTCAGTGAAAGACGACCATAATGACTGATGCGACAATGTTGAAGAAAATTGAGCAACGTGCTGTAAGTTCCTTACAAAACAAGGAAAAAGTAAAAAAATCATTCACGAAGAGATGGTACCCATTTATCAGGACTCTGCACCTTCATTATCTACTGTTCAAAAGTGGTCAAATGAATTTAAAAGGGGCAGAGAAAGCACTGAAGACGATCCTTGCTCGGGCGGGCCGGTTACTGCCAATACGAAAGAAAATGTGAAAAAAATTGAGAAACTTGTATTGGAAGATTCCTGAATAAAAATTAAAACGTTAGCAGAGTTGACAAACCTATCCATTGGTACCATATTTACTATTTTTTATGACCATCTTAACTTTTCAAAGGTCACTTTTCAAAGGTGTGGAAGATGGGTGCTGCGAATGCTCATGGCGCCTCAGAAACAAGTGCAAGTCAAGTGCTGCAGGGAGTTTTTAGAGCTCTGTGGTGAAGATCCATCAAGTATTTTCAACCGGATTGTTACTGGCGATGAAACTTGCGTTCATCACTATGACCCTGAAAGCAAGCAGGAGTCCATGCAGTGGCATAAAAAAGGTGCTGACCCTCCAAAGAAAGTCACTCCATCGGCCGGAAAAATCATGGCCACAGTGATTTGGGACTCAAA